CGACTTGGGTGGATTTGGTACTTCTGGTCAAGTCTGGGATGGCACTGGCGTGTCTATGCCTTTTGAACAGTGCCTGATTCTCATAGTCCGGGCACTGGGAAGAGAGGGCGTTCAAAAGAGAGGAAGAGAAGCAGGCAGGAAAGAGAAGCCAATTGTGAGTGTGGGTTGGTACCCAGCAAGAGGACTGACTGCCCCCCTCTATCTCTTGTGCTCCTCCTCCTCAGGCCTAGTGCCCGAGCCATGGCACTCCCTCGGACACTGGGGGAGCTGCAGCTGTACCGGGTCCTGCAGCGCGCCAATCTTCTTTCCTACTATGAGACCTTCATCCAGCAGGGAGGGGACGACGTGCAGCAACTGTGCGAGGCGGGTGAGGAGGAGTTCCTGGAGATCATGGCACTTGTGGGCATGGCCACCAAGCCCCTGCATGTCCGACGTTTGCAGAAGGCACTGAGAGAGTGGGCCACCAATCCAGGACTCTTCAGCCAGCCAGTGCCTGCCGTGCCTGTCTCCAGTATTCCGCTCTTCAAGATCTCTGAGACTGCAGGCACCCGGAAAGGGAGCATGAGCAACGGGCATGGCAGCCCAGGGGAAAAGGCGGGCAGTGCTCGCAGTTTTAGCCCAAAGAGCCCCCTTGAACTTGGAGAGAAGCTGTCACCACTGCCTGGGGTACCTGGGACAGGAGATGCCCGAATCTGGCCAGGCCGGAGCACTCCAGAGTCCGATGTTGGTGTGGGAGGAGAAGAGGAGGCTGGCTCACCCTCCTTCTCCCCACCTGCAGGGGGAGGAGTCCCTGAGGGGAACGGGGCTGGGGGGTTGGCAGCAGCTGGGTCTGGGGGTGGTCCAGATAGACTGGAGCCAGAGATGGTCCGCATGGTGGTGGAGAGTGTGGAGAGAATCTTCCGGAGCTTCCCAAGGGGGGATGCTGGAGAGGTGACGTCCCTCCTGAAGCTGAACAAGAAGCTGGCACGAAGCGTGGGGCATATCTTTGAGATGGATGATAACGACAGCCAGAAGGAGGAGGAGATCCGCAAATACAGCATTATCTATGGCCGCTTTGACTCTAAGCGGCGGGAGGGCAAGCAGCTCAGCCTGCATGAGGTGAGGACCCCAGCCTCCCAGGATTCCTCTTGGCTCCCAGGCCTCAACCTACGCACCTGTGAGAATCCTCACACTCCCAAGTCTGTTTCATTACCCCTTGACCAGGACCTCAGCCCCTGACCCCCTCTCTCCCACTCCAACCCTAGTTCCTGCAATGCTTCCTTCAACTGAGGGGAAACAGAGAGTCCACCTGTCCCATCTGCTCAGGACCACACAGGAGTGAAGGAGGCTCTGGGCATTCCTAGGAAGCTGTGGGTGCTGACCTCTGTCTTCCTCAGAAAGCTCCTGCGTAGTGTCAAAACCCAAGCAAGCATCTGATGGGTGGGCCTCATTTGATGGTGGAGTGTTGTGAAGAGGTCTGGACAAGGCAGTGGGGAGTTGGGATTCTGACTGCTCTGGCGGTTCTCTCCACAGCTGACCATTAATGAGGCTGCTGCCCAATTCTGCATGAGGGACAACACGCTCTTACTGCGGAGGGTAGAGCTCTTCTCCTTGTCACGCCAAGTGGCCCGAGAGAGCACCTACCTGTCCTCCTTGAAGGGTTCCAGGTAAGACCCCCTGTTCCAGGTCTTTTCTAGATTAGAATCCTGCCAAGGACTTGGGCCATGTCTTAATCAGTTCAGGTGCCTCCAGGCCTGCTTCCTACCCATGTGCATGTCTTGAATTTGGCAAAGTCCGGCCCCTCCTCCCATCTATCGCAGGTCTCCTCTGATCCCCCTCCTTGTGACAGTAGTGCCTGAGCTGAAGACTCCTGTTCAGCCAGCTTCTTTCCAGGGTCTTGAAATAAAGCATGCCCCTCACCAGATTCTGTGCCCTGCCCATCATGTGTCCCTCCCGAGCCTCACCTTCCCTTTTCCTCTCCCTTTTTACAGGCTCCACCCTGAAGAATTGGGAGGTCCCCCACTGAAGAAGCTGAAACAGGACGTAGGTTTTCCAGGGTGTTTATAGGGGGCTAGGGCAGCCTTCCCCAACTCCTTCCCTTGCCAGGTCCTCATTTCCCCGTTTGGGGCATCCACAGGTTGGAGAGCAAAGTCATTCTGAAATCCAGCAGCCTCCCCCAGGCCCTGAGTCTTATGCACCCCCATACCGCCCCAGCCTGGAGGAAGACAGTGCCAGCCTGTCTGGGGAGAGTCTAGATGGACACTTGCAGGGTGAGTGTGCATCAGAACACTTCTCTCCTCTCGGTTGGGGAAGGAAGGTGGAAGGCGTGGGAGGAGGGAGCCAGAAGGCAACTGCCTGGAACAGGGTTGGGGGTCCTGGCTGGATGGGGGCAAAAGGGCCTGGACCTATGGGTCTGGCTGTGTGGTTGAGGGTGGGGGTTCTGTTGACTGTAGTCCCTTACCTGACCAGTGCCCATGCCCACAGCTGTGGGGTCATGCCCAAGGCTGACGCCGCCCCCTGCTGACCTGCCTCTGGCATTGCCAGCCCATGGGCTGTGGAGCCGCCACATCCTGCAGCAGACACTGATGGATGAGGGGCTGCGGCTAGCCCGCCTCGTCTCCCATGACCGCGTGGGCCGCCTCAGCCCCTGTGTGCCTGCAAAGCCGCCTCTTGCAGGTGAGGCAGCCAGCAGTGCTGTCCCCAAGTACCCCCCACCACCCAGGCCGCACAGTAGCAATCCTGGTGTCCTGGGACCAGGTGGGAGGAAGAGGGATGTAGTCCCCAGAGAGGACAGTATGATGGTCGGGCTCCAGCTAACCAGCCTTGGGTTGAGAAGAGGAAGACCCTGCAGGACTGTTCCCACTGGGGAGGGTCTGACCATAATGGAGATCTTTGAAGGAGGAACTGGGGTGAGCAGGGAGACAGAATGGGGGATGACGGGGAGCAGAAGGAGGGTCACCTGGAATGGAAGCTTGGAGAGCACTTCTACCAATGCAGGAAGGTGGAGCAAGCTAGGAGTTGGGGTGGGGCTGCCCAGCCTGGAAGTGGAGGAGCCCAGAGGGGTATGCTTTGTGGGTGGATGGGGAAAAGGGGAATAGGCTGGCAAAGGGCCGGTCAGTTTGGCTGGGCAGCGGCTGGGCTGAGAGTGACGCAGCAGACAAAGCCACCAACCCTGGCTTGGTATTTTTAAACTGTGTGGGTGGGAAGTGGGGGCAGGGACTGAAAAGGGGGCTCTTCTTGGGGGAGGAACTGGCTTCCTGTGTTCCCCCTTTCTTGGCTTCTAAGAAACTTGGGGGGCATGGTTGATTGGGTAGGGTCTGGGAGGGGGCCAGAGATGAGTGGGGGCAGCAGAGCCTGGGAAGAGGGGAGGGGGAGAGGTCAGAGCCAAGCCGCCCCCACAGCTCCTGACAGAACCAGAAATTCCAGCGGAGCGGAGGAGGCGGGAGAGACAGAGAATGAGAGACACACAAACAGAGACAGAGCGCTACACACAGTCAGAAAGAGGAGGGGGCACACACACTTGGATATGGACCCCCCCCCCAAATATACACGGTGGGCAGGAGGCAGTAACGCAGTAAATCGGGCTCATCTTGGCTACCTTTTCTACCCCAGTCTCTGTTCTCAACCACCTCTCTCTGCAGCGTCCACCCCGCAGCCTCCTAACCTACCCTTTTTCCCTGCAGAGTTCGAGGAAGGGCTGCTGGACCGATGCCCTGCCCCCGGACCCCACCCAGCTCTGGTAGAAGGTCGCAGGAGCAGTGTGAAAGTGGAGGCTGAGGCCAGCCGGCAGTGAGGAGTAGACTGGTGGTCTCAGACCCGGGCCCCCGGACTTCTGGCTCCCACAGATCTCGACACTGTTGATCCCTGGCATCGAGTCACAACCCTGGACCCTCCTGCTGCCCTTCTGCCTCCCCACCTGCTCCATGGGCATAGGACTATGGGGCTTCAAGCAATAATGAATAGGGGCCTGATGAGAGGATGCAAGGAGGGTGCGTGCTGCCCCTCACCCTTGCCCAGAGCTCGGGGGCAAGGACTGCCTGCAGGGAATCTGGGATTCTCCCCTCCCTTACACAGCACACTACCATTCTCTCTAGTTGGAACCAGTGGTGTGAGCAGTTGGACTCAGTTTGAACATGGGGGAAAGGGGACTTCCCTGGGAAGGTCCAGCAGCTAAAAATGGAAACATTTCCCCCCAGAACTGGGGGCCTGGGAACACTGGACCTGCTCCTCCTCCCCTCCGCTCCCCCATTTTTGTGCTTCTAGTTTGTTTCTATAATTTAATAAGTGCTGCAGTTGACCTACCTATCCCTATCTTTCCCCCAAATCCTCAGCAATTCTTTCCCTTCTGCCCTGCCCTCTCTGGGGTGGGGTGGATGTGGGGTTCCCTTCATCTGTCCCCATGGGAGGCCTGGGTTGGACTCAGTGTCTCCCCCAGCTGGGGGCTACACCACAGCACCTGTCCGAGCAGTTAGAGCATCTTTCTTTTCAGATTGTGTACAGTAGATTATTTATTTTGTTATTTTGGAATAAAATTTATTTTATGGCTTAGGATTTATGACCAACCCCCCGCCCCAAAAGGGAGAATGGGTGGCATGGAATTGGAGAGTGGAGGAAAACTGGCAGTGCCTGTGGAAATAGAAAAGAAGCAATGGAGAGACCCTAATACACCAGGAGGATCACACACCTGGGTCTGGCCCCCAGCACTCATCCCTGCAGGACTGGTGGTGTTGAGACACCAAAGCTACAGCTATATGCAGATGTCACAGGCACATAGACCTACCTGGATACAGTCATACTTAGAGCTGAGTACATCTGGGTTATCATACCTTTTGCAGTGTTTCACACTGCAAAATTTGTCACATGAGACAAAATCAGATAATCTATGCGGCCGTACAACTAACGTATAACGTTTATATGTCAACATGTCTCAGGTATACACACTTTCACATAGCTATACACCAAGAATCTCAGCCCATGTGCTTTGCATACATAACCAAAAGCCTCTGACAGGAATCGGGAGCTGTTTGCAATTTGTTTTTAATCTGGGCATAACCCACATCAATAACCAAGTATACAGGCCCCTCTTCTCCCACCCAGGGTCTCCTGAACTGTCCTCATCCCCCAGGGATGGGATGCAAGCCCACCCCCAGCTTCTAGTGCAAGTGTGTGCATCCCGGGTCCTGGTTGTGGGTGGGAGGAGAAGCCCTACATACCCTGACTTCTGCTCTTGCCCATCTTCCTTCCTGCTCAGGCCCAACTCCCAGAGAAAGCCGTGAGAGTGTGTGTGTGTTGCGTGTGCAGGCATGCTGGGGTGTGTCTCACTTTGGAACCTGAATTTCTCTTCCGGTACTGGAAGGGAGAGGGCAGGGTTATGTGATAAGAAGGAAGGAGTAGATAGGCTCCACCCACTATGCCTTCTCCTGGCAAAGTCTTTTCCTGACAGGAGTAGGTGGGGATAGGAGGACACCCTATCTGCTGCTTGGCAGGAGCATGGGCAGGTGTCCAGAGCAAGTCCATGGGGGTAGAAGAGCTGTCTCTCTCAGCTCCCCCTCCTGCTGGGATCACCAACTGTGGTTGGCCCTTAGGTCCAGGTGGGACATTGAGATCCCAGACTGCCCATAGGAGGAGGGCTGCAGGAGGGGCTGGGCTCCCAAGGACCCTCCCGCTGATTCCCCTTGACCCTCCAGGAGAAGTTTGGTGAGGTCCTGTTCGGTGGGAGGCAGCAAGGGCGGAAACATGTCTTCACCAACCCTAAGAGAAGGAAGGAGAGAAACAATGGGGTAGACATTGCTCTAGCCCCCACTAAGCTGCCACCCCCAGACCACCACTCACCAGGTGCCCTGAGTGAACCCTCCTACAGGCTGGTTCAGGCAGCTGTCTTCTCCCATGGTCACATCCGCGCAGAGCATGGGCTCAGGGCTGGACATGGCATGCTCCTGAGGCTGGCACGGCAGCAGGCCCCTGCTAGGACCAGGAAAGTAACTAAGATGTTGGGGTAGGAGAGACTGGGAATGAACGGGGCACATGGGATCAAGATGGGGGCTGTCACTCACTGGGGGTGAGGTTGGTCAAAGGTCAGGCTCATCTCACTCAGGTTGGGGGGCATCTGCAGGTGAGGTCTGGAAGCAGGAAGGAAGACAGTCAGAGAAAGGAAGGCTGGGCAAGAGCAGGGTGTTGCAAAGTCAAAACCACTGAGTGAGGAAACAAATTTCAGCTCCTGATCCTGACTGCATAGCCTTGGGCAAGCTATCTCTACGATTGTGAGCTGAGTCTTCCCATCTGTTAAGTGTGTGTTGGGTGTTGTGGACTGGGAGGAGATGGGAGAGGAGAGGAGGGCTGGATTAAATAATTTCTGATGTTTCTTTGGACTCTGAATTTTGGTGATTCTAAGTCCCCCACCTCAACTTCTGGGAGGGCAGATGTCATGCCTTGATTTTAGGAGTTAATAAGTGCCTGAGTGCTACCTGGGATACAAAAATGCTTAGACCACTTCAAGGCCAAAACAGATGAGTAAATAAAAATCAAGACAGCCAATAAGTGACTGTGGATTCCAGGAGCAGGCGAGAACACTAATCCTTACAAAAATAGTTCTTGCTATGAGCCAGGTACTATGCTAAGCTTTACATATATTATTAACTCACTTAGCCTTCACAGTAACCCTATGAGGAAGGTATTATTATTTTCCATTTTACAGATGAGGCACCAGAGTTAGGTAACTTGGCCTGCGTCAGTAAGTAAGGGGGCTGGAATTCAAACCCAGGGAAGTCTGGGTCTTAACCACAAAGCCTCAATGGAATGGACAGAAGAGACAAAGCTTTTTGCTGCCCCTTTCTCACAGAAGAGCCTCTCCTAACAAATGTAAATGCCCATCCCTCTTGCAGCTGGGTATCCCCGCCCTATCCCCAAGAGGTTCTTAACTTACTCCTGGAAGGATCGCAACACATTGACTGATTCTTCTGGAGGGAGGGCTTGGTATGAGGGGATGGAGTGAGAGTGTGGTGGGTACACCTGGGGCCTGGGGAAAGAAAGCAAGACACCTTGATGCCAGTCCTTCTCCTTGACACCCCCAGCCCATGTCTGAGGATGGGAAATCCCTTTCATAGAAAGGAAAATTCCCTTCTTCAGCTCCCAGTGCCAGGTCTCCCAGCTGCCCATGCCGAAAGCCTGCCTGCGTAGACCACTCCCATTCCTGTCTCTCAAGCTCCTTACACCATATCTTGGTTGAGCTGCATGGCCATGGAGTCAGGGACCATTCCAAGATCATAACTGGGCACCATGGTAGGCATTTGGGGCTCTGGGGTGGGGAGTGGCTGGTCCCTGCAGGAGGGAAAGAGGCACATGTGACTGATCAAGTGTTGACGCCACCACCCCTTCCTACAAGTAAGTACCAGGCCCCATCCATCATCTCCACCTCCACACTCACCTTTCCACAGTCATCTTGATGGTAGCTGGGACGTAACCCCTGCCATCCTTACCTATCTGTTCATCTGTTGTGGGGAGGAAAGAAGAACTATGGAGTTCTCCAGGGTTAGGAAGGAGGGGAGGTAGGAGAGGTGGGCATGGCTGATGGGCAAGTAGGAGAAGTGAGGCTACAAAAATGGAGAGACGAGTCAGGGATTACACAGAGTGGGCAGGGAAGGGGCAACTGGTAGCAGGGAGGAGGTGGGCAACAGGAAGGAATCAGAACTCCTAGCTCCAGCTCACGCTTGTAGTGGCTCCGGAAAGCCTCGTCCTTGGGTTTCTTGGGGTAGAGGTTTTTGAGCTGAGCAAGGTCCCGGATTCGGTCCCCCAGTGAGCGAATGGACAGGTCTTTGGCAGAGAATGGCTGGATGTTCTCTATCTGTGGGGAGCCTATGATAGGAATGAGACCCTGAGTCCCCTCTGTCCGATTTTCTTCCTCTTACCCAGCCCCCACCACACACACACACACACACACAGAGAGAACTCATTCTCAATCTACCAAGGCAAGGGGAAGAGGACCTCAGGTGGGGGTCTTGGGTGAGGGAGACCCACTAATCTCCATCCACAGAGCTCACAGTGAGAAGGTGGCAGTTTAGACCACAGAAAGAAGAAGAGAAGTTGGACCTAAGGAAGAACTTTCTGAAGATCAGGGTTGGCACCAAGGAAGCCAAAACATTTCCTCCCCAGAAGACACCCAGAGGACATAGGCACAGAAACAGAGGACTGGCTGTGGTGATCTCACCATCCTGGCTCCTGATGACATGGGCAATGGTGATGCCTCCAATCTCTGAGTCGCTGAAGCGAAGGAGGAAGGTTCCATCGGGTTCGTTGAGAAGGAGGCTAGTGACATACTGTTTGCTGATGAAGCCAATGATCAGCCTGGCCAGGATGAAGGAGAGGATGGGGGTGGAGGCACTGGATGTGGAGAGGGAGCTGGATGTACAGCTGCTCAGGCCACCTGGGGCAGAGACTCACCGATCTGACCAGTAGCTCTTGAGACAGCGTTTGGTGAGGTCCAGCACACCATCAAACCACTGCCAAAAGGTGAAGCCACGACCCAGCAGGATTTCCTGTGGTGGCAGGAAGAGCTAGTGTGAGCATGAAAAGGCCAGAGCTGGAGCCTGGTTAAGGCAGGCACTGGGTTGTGAGTGCCCATACAAGACTCACAAGGCTGAGGGACCAAACTGGACATGAGACCCCCATCAATGACAATGGCCAACACTCACATTTACCATGTGCCAGGCATTATTCCAAGCCCTTTCCATAAATTAATTTATCTGATCTTTACAAGACTATGGAGGTAAGTCCTTATCCCATCTTACAGATAAAGAAATGGAAGCCCAGAAAGGTCAAATAACTTGCCCAGGTCCACACAGCTGGTGAGAGGCAGAGCTGGGATTTAGCCCAGGAAGTTTGGGCTGGGGCCCCTCATAACCACTGTGCTCCACTCATCCCTAATGAGGCCTGGTAGAAGTGGAGTCCAGAGAAGGCGGCCGCCAGGTGTGAGAGTCCTGCTCCCTTTGCTAACACATCCTCTGGTCCTGTGGGTTTTTCCTTCTTCCTTTTTATCTAAGAGAGCAGTACATGACTACATTTACCCAGCTGGTGGTCAGCCAAGACACCCAGATCTCCTTTTTCCCCAGTTCTTGTAACAGACCCCGTTCTGAGCCACCTTATTTTGGAGGGAGTAAAATATAGTAGCTAAGAGTAAGAGTCAGAAATATGGGGTTCTATCCCAGCCATGCTACTCACCTGCTGGGAGACTTGGACAAACTATTTAACCCCTCTGAGCATCAGGTTCCTTGTCTGTAAAATGGGGATACTAATGTACCCACTTTGAAGGGATGTTGGGAGGATTAAATGAGATAACATACATAAAATGCTAAGCACAGTGCCTGGCATATAGTAACCTGTCAACACATGGTTGCTCTATTACTAGTATATGTCCCTAAGCTATTTTACCAATGGGTTAAAGTCATTTTGAATCAGAGCTGTGTTTACACACAATCTAGGTGAGTCATAGAAGTTACTGGTAAAGAGGGAGGACAGAGGGTCAAAACCTGAGGGATCAGAGAATGCATCCTCCAGGCTGACCCTGAGCAGAGAGGTTTTCCCGCCTGGGCCCCTCCTAACAGAGGCCTTTGTGATGAACATGATGGGGCATGGTGAAAATCCCAGCAGTTTGTCCCTGAGCAGAGGTTGAGGAGGCCCTGAGTGGACAAGGGATGAAGAGCTTGAGGTTGGGAGGTCTGAAGGGCAGGGGAATGACCTTGTTGAACTGTGACCAGGACACAGAGCGGTGCTGGAAGGCCTCTATGCTGAGGCTGTTGTCATTGAAGATCTTCTGGGCCAAGAAGAGGAAGTGCTCTGGGAGTAGCCCCTGGTTGGTCCCCACCTCAGCCATGAACTTGAGATTCAGAGTTTCACACATCTTCTCCCAGGGCACCCGCTCAGCCACCACAAAGGGCACACGGTCCTGGGGTGAAAGGGGAAGGAGAAGGTGCCTCAGGCTATCACCCCCATTCTTCTCAGAAGGGGCCTTCATTCTTCCCACTTCCCCTCCCAGGCATTGTCCCCCTGAGCTTGCTCACAAAGGTGGTGCTTTTCCAACAGTAGTGGAGGGTGCTATGACATGATAGTTAAGACTGGTACGAAAAGAGGTCAAAAGTATGAAAGCAGGTCCATGAGAAGAAGTTAAGGTCGCTCACATTTGAACATGCCTGCCACCCCACCAGCCTGTACCCTATCCCCCATGTTAGAGCCCACTCTGCCCCTGTACCCCCCATTCCAGGTCTTTCCTCACCATCTCAGAGAAGGCATTGTCCCACAAGATGGTGGCTTTGGCATTGTTATCTTGGTTGCCATGGACGATGACCACCAGTGGCAGAGATAGGGCCTGAATGGGATGAGGAGAGGGGGTTGTTCTTATTAGGGCAAGTGGATTCCTTAGGGGCTAGTTCTAAGGGGAAAGCTATTGGACTTACAGAACACAGTTAAAAGCTTACAGTATGTTATCAAATGCTTTCTGAAGCTCAGTTGGGCCTTACTGTAGAGAAGTGGTTATGAGTCAGTGTTATGGAGCCAGACCTCCAGGTTTCAAATGCCAGCTCCAACACTTAGTAGCTGTGTGACCTGGGCAAATGACTCAATCTTTCCATGTCTCAATGTCCTCATTTGTAAAATGAGGTTAGTAATCATACCCTCCTCATAATGTTATTAGGAGAACTGTGTGTGAGTGTGTCACTTAAAACAGTGCCCTGGGGCCGGCCGAGTGCCGCGATGGTTAAGAGCTGGCTTGGGACGCCAGAGGGCCCAGGTTCGGATCCCACATATGAGGGCCAGTGACACTGCCCTCCACAGCTAAGATGCT